CCATCCCAAACATGTAGTTGGTCCAATAAAAGATATCACACACAAAAATCCTTGCCTCCTGAAAAACATACATCGTTTTGCTTATGTTTAAAAAAAAAATCTTAACAGCTGTTTTGTCAAGAAGCTGTAGCACCAGTTTGTAGCTGGAAGTTAATGTTGTAGGAGGTTCACCTTGGTATCAGTGAGGCACTTTTTGCCATTTCTGCCATAGGACTTGTTCATAATATGCACATGCCTCCTACAGATTTGTTAAAGTTCGGCAGCTAAATCCTCCAAGCATTCCACTCCACCTTCATTGAGCATGCTGCATCCCAGGGTTAAGTAGAATTTCCCCTGCAATTGCTCCTGCCCTTTGCGAGGGACTACATGACAGAAGGAACAAAAAGAGAAATGGCATTTTTTGTCATTTCTGCCATAGGACTTGTTCATAATATGCACATGCCTCCTACATGTTTACCCCTTCCTGATGAATCAAATGTGCAGTTCCATGAAAGAATTTAAGGGGGAAGTTCAGTCAATTCCAAGAGAATTACATTAAAAGAATGCTAAGATTGCAGTCTAATGTTCAAATGTGCTCCAAGTCTAATGCTCAAAATATTGCTCTTGCAGCCTCCTATGCACATTAAACACAATCCTTAACTGCAGTCACTATTTTTTCCCATGGGACTACTGCTTAACTCAGCCTTAATTCTAGCATTTCCTAATATTTGTGTGCATAATTTTACAACCCTGATGTTCTTTTTATGTCTTTTTTATGCAGATTAAGTATTTCAAAAGGACAATTATAAGTGCATGAAATGTATGTAAACCATATTTGCTTTTAAAAAAAGGTAGTTTTCACAGGACAAACTGATTAGAGAGGTGTGATGCTTACTTTGTAGTTCAGATTCCAGAAAATATTCTTTTAAGCCTTTTCTAAATTCAAAGAAATCACTTTAGAGTCAAAACTACTTCTGATAATTATCTGGCATCAAATAAAATTCTAATCCCAGATTTTGCTTCCTAAAATGGCTGTTTGGGACTCATCCAGTCTTCACTGACATCCATGGAAGAACTCCCTTTAATTTTTTTTCTAATGAGAGCTGGATCAGACTCTGACAGCAAGTAGTAGTAATACACTGAGCCAAATGGGTCATTTTTTTCTTTCTGTAAGCCTGCTCCACTTCCATAATATCATCTGCCTACCTTAGTAGAAAAGAATCTGTGGAACTGTTGATACATGATGAATCATGACTACAACATATGAAGTTCATTACACTTAAAGCTGACTTATACAGGGTTCTTGTCTAACTTACCCTGTGTGATACATGTGAGAGCAGAAGAGGGCATATTGAAGATCTGAGCAAAAGACATTTGAGGAATCATTTTAATATAGTGCTAAAGAGAGAAAATGTCATAGAACAGATTCAAAATAGGACCCACTCTCTGTAATCTGGCAGGAAGTCATCCAGGCCATCATTCTTTAAAAAAAAGGGCCTAATTTAAAAAAACCCTATATAACACATTAAAATAGATAACTAACTTTATCCCAAAAATCCTACTAACACCTTTCCTGTGTCTGTTCTCACTCCTGTTGATGTACAGGCAGTCCTCGCACTTACGGCGGGTTATGTTCCTGGAAAAGGCTCTGTAAGTCGAAATGATATAAATCCAATCTGATTTTCCCATAGAAACAATGTTATAATAGAGGGCTATGTTCCTGACCAAGGGCCTGATGCCCAACTTTTTATAGAAATTACCATAAATACCATATTTAAATCAACTATTTAATCAACTATAAATGATATACACTGTACAGAACAAAGCTTTCTAAAGTGTACTGTATATAAATCAGTTAAACTGGGCAATACAGTAACTAATCACATAAGATTTTATTTAATCAGAAGGTGGAAGAACACCTTCATTATGGTCATGGAATTCAGAAGGGCTTCTTTGGGGAGATTTTGAGAAGTCTTAGGGCCACTTGATGGCTTTTTGAGAAACTGATCCAGGGATGTTTGTTTTGCTGCCCTTTTTTCCCATTGTAAATTTCCCTGGAGTGCCGTAAGTCCGAGGATCCAGCGCCATAAGTAATAACATGGGTGTAAATGGCGGAGCGCCACAAGTGCGAATTGCCATAAGTCGAAATGCCATAAGTCGAGGACTGCCTGTATTTGATGACGTTATTGCAGTATTCAATGGGAGACAGATTTTGGGCGCAAAACAGGAAATGAGGAGCTTTTTCCTTTTTGTCTCACTGAGAAACCCTGAGAAAGAATCACTTAGTCCCAAATGCAGTGACTTTGTTTGAACTGCTATTATTCTTGGAGAACTTTCCCCAGGATTTGTCAGGTATGTGATGACACAGCATTCCGTGACAAACAGTTCAGCGTTACCCCATCCCACATTTGTCCTGACATTGTGGCTTTAAACAACTGTGACATGTTCTTGGGAACTTAAGTGCCTACTATATCTCACCCCAGAAGTAGCTGCAGTTGTGAATAAATTGTAATATAATTTTGAAACCTTTCAAATGAAAACTGTTGCTTATGTCTACTCTGTTTTTTCAAGGGCAATACTTGCAAAATGAAAATGCATCCTAAACAGTTTAATTTGCATTAAGCCCATCATTGCTCAGTAACAAAACCTTTCTTTCCATCCACTTTAAATATTGTTTTCCATCCTTTCTTTTCATTCTGCTTTAAATACAATACCAATGAATTGTTGAAACAGTAACTAAGTAATTATATTCTAAGCTAAATACTCTATACTTTGGACTTATCTTTCAAATAGAGCAGTATTTGGGGGTAATGGTGCATGTATATATGTTAACAAGTGAAATATTTAGTTATTTATTGTGGCAGGACACAATTTTGTATTATTCAAACACTAAAAATAGGGTGTCAGAAAGGCAAACAGGTTGGCACTCAAAGGCCCTGTACAGAAACAAAGCACTTTCTTGTTGAGTCATCCAAGGCTCAGGTGCTAAAATCCTGCACTAAGATGCTGAGTGATTATTTCTGAGTCACACTAGCAGGTAGGGGCACTTAACTCCATCCAGTCAGGATACAGAGAAAATGAAGGTGTTTCTTTGAGCAAGAGGAAACTGGAAAATGGGTAGAGAGGTGCTATCAAAACACACAGGCTTAGGGTAATGTTGTATTATTAATAAGCCAAACTCCAGGAAGGGAGAGAGTTAGATACTGAATCCAAGGGCTGTGTACTAAAGATAGCATAGGAACACAGCAGGTTCACAATACAATAGTCAATCATCTTACCAGATGATTCGAAAGATACACTGCCAAGCATTGTAAGAATATTCATTATTAGAGTCATTGGAGTGCTGAGTTGCATTAGTCAGGGTGAATAATAGTTTATGTTCCATCTGAGATGCAACACAGACTTTAAATGTAGGTACTCCAGTTCTGCAAGCTAGGCATTTGTAGTTTGAGCAGTTCAGTTGGTTTACTTGAATAAAAATTACACACATCCTTAAGTCTTTGCAGGTTTGGGACCAAGGATAGTACTTTTATATTTGGCATGGTGCTGATCAGATTCGTGCTTTAAAAATCATCAACAACAACAAAACAACTTTGCAGCAAGTATTTTCTTGAAACAATGGCAGTGGAAATGCAGTCATAGAGACTTGCCTAATGTCACACCGGTTATAGCAGAAGGAGGGGAACCTGATTCCCAGTCCTTCTCCTTCAACCAGAGGAAGGGCCATACCCAGAGCCCATGGCAGGCCAGGGGGGTTGTTTGCATGTTACTTATAGAAAAAGGAAGGCGATGGGCTTAAAAAAAAAAAGCTTTTCCTGTCCAGTATCCCTTTAAGTGTGTATGTGTGTGTGAGACAGAGACTGTATTTTTTTCCTGTTGATTATATTTGTCTCTCAGCCCTGTTCTATCTTGTTGACTAGATTTCAGACTGGTTATAAGGAAAAACTTCTGCACGGTTCATGCGGCCAGATTCTGGAACAGACTCCCAGCAGGGGTGGTGCAGGCACCTACCCTGGAGATCTTCAAAAGGAGACTGGACACACACCTTGCTGGGGTTATTTGACCCCAGCAGTCTTTTCTACCCAGAGCAGGGGGGCTGGACCCAATGATCTCATTAGGTCCCTTCCAGCCCTAAACTTCTGTGAATCTGTGACTACATAGATTCATAGAAAATGAGGGCTGGAAGGGGTTTGAGGAGGTCATGTAGTGCAACCCCCTGCCCAAAGCAGGACCATCCCCAACTAGATCATCCCAGCCAAGGCCCTGTCTAGCCAGGTCTTAAAAACCCTGAAGGATGGATTTTTTCTGCCTGGTGCAGGGGGCTGGACCTGACAATCTTCTGAGGTCCCTTCCAGCCCCTTACAATCTGTGGACTTCTATTGCTAGAATGAAGAACACTAGGAATGAAGCTGTGCTGTAAACCCCGTTGTAGGAGAACACCCCCCCCCCAGATAAGATAGGACCGAAATTCCCCAAGCGAGTCCTCCACCCCCACAGTTGTGAGTCGTCCAGAGCTGAAGTTGCAGCTCAGCTGAGCAAAGAGATCGCTCTGAAACACGAGGGACTTGCAATGCCCTAGGAAGTTCAGTCCTGGATTCGTCGGGGCCTATCACCCCGCCCAGTGTAACCCCCCTGGACTTGAGTGCAGACCCCCCGATCCGACCCAATTCAGGACACAGCCCCGCAATTTCCAATCTCGGCCCCGTGCCTCTTGACACTCTTCCCTGCTTCCTCCCGAAATCCATGAAGCAGGACATTTTTTCCAAGCTGACTCACACTTCTAATGTCAGTCCTGTCACTTCCAGCGCTGCAAGCTGTTGCTTGTGCTGTTGCTGCCTTGGCACTGTCCGCCCCCCTCCCCTCATCCACCCCTTGTACCGGGGCGGGCTGCCGGGGGGCGGGGCCAGCATAGAGCCCGCCCCCGGCCCCGCCCCCCGCGCCGCTCCCCCCGGAGCAGGGACCGCAATGATTTAGAAGTTCAGGAATCCCACGTGACGTCACGGAGGGTGATGTAATGCTTCTCTAAATAGAACGTATTGTAACCTTCTCTCAGTCCAACGTGGTTCCTTCACCCAGGCTGCTGGTCCCTTCCCTTCTACACTTGTTTGGTAAGTTCCTAAAAATACTGATCTCCCTTTCTGAAACTCCCTTTACATTGCCTTTCAGCCCGCACTTCCTGAGCGCCCCAAAGTACTTGTTTGCCTGGGATTCGCTTTTCCAGGCAGTGTGTGTGTGAATGAACTGGGGGACGAAGGGGGGGCCAGGCGGTAAAGTGTGTGTGTGAGGGGGGCAATCTTATTTAATTCTCCTATAAATGGCCATTTCTTGCTATTCCGGCCGGGACTGCTCCGGACACTGGGGCGATCGGCTCTGAGTTTTGTTTTGAATTTCACTTCAGTAATAGTCACTGAACCCATTGGAGGTCCCCCCCCCCCCCCCTTCTCGCTCCTTTTCAGCAGGCTGGAGCAGTGAGATGCTTCTGCGAGGATGGCTGTGGTAGGGGTGCGGGGAGGGCTCGGGTTCACCTCCCCCCCGGGATAAAGCGGGGGCTGTTACGGACCGAGGCGTGCGGCTGGGGTTGGGGTTTGGGGGGCGGCAGAAAAAGTTGTACCTAGAAGTGCAGGCAGCAGCTGGCGAGCGAGAGGGGGAGCTGGGAGTCCCCAGCCTCGCACGCCGAGCACGAAGTTGGGAAGTTTTTGCAACTCGGCGTGTGTCTTTTTAAAAGCCAGAGCCGGAGACAGTCATTAGTATGCGGCCGGGAGCGTGTGAGTGCGCCCGTGTGTGTGTCCGAGCCCCGCGGAGATGTGCCCGCCTCTGCCACAGCCACTCGCGTAGGTGAATGCTGCTCCCAATAAGTTGCAGGTCTCTTGCTTGAGCTTTCTCCGGATCGGGGTTTTTCTTTTCTCCCCCCCCCCCCTTTCCCCCTTACTAGCACAGAGAACTGGAAAGCTCTTCCTCCCCCCCCTTCCATTTCTTTCTGGCATCACATCTTTCTTGCTCTTGCTGCTGAAATGACAGCTCTTTGGCTGGGGATCTGCTCTGCAAGCCCCTCTTGCGCGTTCCTCCTACATGGTCTTGATTTCAAGCGCTGCAACTTGTCTTCAGCGCAGAAAAGTTTTACAAGAGGCTCCTTCAGTCCACAGCAGCGCAGAAGTTTCTCTTGCGTGTTTGTAATGGACCCCCCCCCCCCTTTTTTTTCTTTCTTTCTATTTTTTTTTTTTTTTTGGCGATCCTGCACAACAAACTGATCCGATCTCCACCCCCTCTTCCCTTCCCCGGCTCCAATCCCCACATGGTGTCTATTGTTAAGGACTCGGGCTGGAGTGGGCTGTGTGTATGTTTCGTTGTTAGGTGTCTGCATCGCTATGTTTGGTTGTCTTCCCCCCCTCCCTCTGACATATCTCTGGGAATAAGGCTGGATCCTGGGCCATTACGTCATTCTGCAGACTAGTAAGTGTTTGATTAACAGCCTCAGATACTGTAGGGTTCAGGGGTTAGAAATGCTGACAAAGCAACTCTCTCTTTTACAACCTCGCTCGCTAAACACATCTCTAACTACGTCCCCTTCCCCAGCTTAATGCCATTTCCTCTACCCCTCCTCTCTTTTTAGGGTCCTTTCTCCCTCCATGTAGCTAAGTTTCCTAGAACGATGAGAGCTGCTGGAGTGTAAAGGGGGCTAGTTGCTAAACTCTGCCTTCACTTACTATTTACGTCGAGGCATGATGAGTGAGTCTTCATCTCCAGGGTTTAATACGTGCCTTACAATCGGAAAGAAAGAACCGGTTCAAAGTAATCAAGTCCATGAATGTCCATGTGTGTGGGTCTTAACATGGAACATGCTCCTAAGAGTCTCTTGCTTCAAATGGCATGACCAGATGATTTCTGTATCTTCCAGGTGAGAAATAATACACAGATAAATTAATCTCGAGCTTGAACCAAAGGATAATATATATTGAGGAGCACATTTCTTGGGCTGTCCCTGAGATGGCACAGTTCAAAGACAACTCTGGTAGTGATCTATTGAATTGCACCAGAGTTTCCTTGTCTGGCCATTTGAACAATGTTCAGTGTGTCAAATAGCTGTAGAGGAAAAACTTTCTTCTAAGAAACTGTCATGCTGAAATAATCCAGAAACCAGACTGTGAAGAAAATTAATGTATAAAAGAATTTAAGAGCTGTAGGGTGAGAACCAAATGAAAATGAAAGAAAAAAGTATCTTGCAGCCCACTTCGTGGGAATTTTGCTGAAGTAGATGCATAAATGCACACTGGCAGCGTACTGCTTTCTTTCGTTCTCTGGTAGAAAAATGTACATTATTAAAAGCCCCCTTTGGTATTTTGTTACTTTTAAGTTTTGGATAAAGTTGTCAGCATTAAGAAGTTAAAAATATTTAGAAAAAATTCTTAAAGTTCTTATTTGTGACTCCTTAATCCTAATGGGAGCTGTGCAGGTTGCAAAGCACTAGAGAAAAGTGTGATTAATGATCAGTGATTAGTGATAAGTGATTAGTGGTTTTATTCAAACTGTTACCTCTGACCAGAAGCACGCATCAGAGGATTAACAGGCTCTTTAGATAAATGCTCATTAGTGGAAGGGGGAAAGCAAAGATAATAGGCATGCACACAGGGACAACTTTGGAGGAAAATCATTCCTGTCTCTGGAATAATAAGCATTATTAGCAGAAAGCCTCTTTAGTTTAAAAGTTGCTTTTATCTTGTAAATCAAAGTTAGATGTAGAAGTTCACTGTGCTATTATAACCTAAATTTTCCCATATCCACTGGATGTGGATTATCCCAGTAGTGATATTTATTTAAACAAACAATTGAATTTTTAAAGAAACTGAACATTCACAAAATCTAAAGCCTTGTATCTTAAGGTATCCACTTCTTACATAGCAAGTGAAGCTTGCTGACAGCTAACTAGATGGCGCAGTACTGTTCTTTGTGAATATATAGTTCTGGATTATGAACTGAGCAAGTAGCTGCTTGCTAGATGTCCTTCAACACTTACAACAAAGTTGATTCTGTGCTAGGTTGGAGGCGAGACAGTCCTACAAGTTTTTAGTCACATTTTCCATGTCAGTTAATCTAGTGAGTTAAAGGCTACTGGAAAATGTACTCTCATTACTAAAAGAAACAGTTACAGAAAGAAAGTGAGAGAGCGGCAAATAGTACAACCTGTGATTTAGCTCTTTACTTCCCTGTTCTAGTTATCATAAAACACCAGACCTTGTTTCTATAGAGTTTAGAAAAATAAGATTCTGATGGCCTGAAATACAAAAATATAGAAATACACAGTGACGCTTTCTACTCTTAGCTGCCACTAGCCCAGGGAGTGTTAAAATTAGATACATTTGAAAAAAAGTTGACGTGATGGTTGAACAAAACAGCTCCGACCTGATTTTATTGAACAGATAATGGTAAGAGGTCTTTTATTTTTTTCTTTTGACTGACTAAGATTCTTTAATTATTCTATTTTTATCATGTTTGGATTGTGTAGCATTAGTATCTATTGCTGTCCATAATATTTGTCATGTTTCTACTGTCTTGACTACATAAGAATGATCTACAGTTGTTTGAAGATGTCCAGAACATCATACTTTCAAAACCAAAATGTTTTGTATATACATTTACAGCGGAATAAAACCTTATTACATTAACAAAAGTGAAATTGTCTCCTGTTTTTGTAATTTTAATTGGGATAGTCTTATGAGGAGTCAGATAACATTTTATGGAAAGACAAGATTTCTTTATATTCCTGACTTAAGTTTAGAAGGACAGTAAGCTCTATCTTGGACTACTTAATATTGGATACAACTATTCTAGAGTGTAAACAGATGTACTCCTAAATATCTTACTCCTAAATTACTTACATTAAAAAATAAAATGAATATATTTAGGAGCTGCTCCTAGGCCAAAGAAACCAAATTAATAATATGAATTGTATTTACTGAAACCCAAATTTGTCTGGTGGGGCCCTGGGAGTGGGATGGGTGGTGGTTAGAAAGTAGATCTCACTGCTTAGTTTAGTCCAGGAGTGAAAGGAGGAAAGAAAAAACAGTCTTTCAATTGAGAAAGTAAAATGGGAAAGAGTTATGTCCGTAATCTTGTTTACCATTCATTAGAACTACTTGCATGAATAACAGGAGCAAGTTCTGGCCCTCTATGTTTAATTTAAATGCTCATTTGGTTAGTTCACTTGAGAAAGGAATCTCAGATATCCTGAAATTGCCTAAAATTGTTCCGTTCACTACAGAGGGGTCTTTTGGCACTTTTTGTGGGAGTTAGGGTTCATTCCTACAGTGATGGAAAAAAGGCAATGTTGCATTGCCCTGAGATAACATGCTTCTGTTTAACTCAGGCAAAACCCTTTTTGACGTAGGCGAATTATATGGAAGGATTTGGCCCTTATCTGTTAACCCGTGTATTTTTAGCCATTTTAAAAATTTCCTTCTGGGACTCCAGTCAAGTTACATATATACGTTCAAGTATTTGGAGAAGTATTGTTGTCATGTTGTAGTCCAATTCTAAAATACAGTCTCTTTAATCAAGGACCTTTCCAGCTCTGAGTTCTCTGTCTCTCTAGCTAGCAACATGTTGAATTTATTGCAGACTTGTTGGTTTGACTAAGAAAACCCTCTGCTTATGGATTAACCTTCTTTAAATGTAAGCTTAAATACACTCAAATTAATTTTGACATAACTTTTTCAATAATGACCCTCCCCCCCCAAATTCCTCTTTTTAAAAGAAATGTTTAGGTGGTGTGGACCATACCATATTTCATATTCCCAAATTTGATCAAATGGGAATTTTCCTTAGGTCAGGCCTACAGAATTTGGCTTTAATAATTTATTTCTCTACATGCATCCTTTATCTTGGTAGAAAGGCTCACTTTAGTCCCACTAAGAAGAAAAAGCAACAGGTCTTTCAGTTCCACTTCAGTTCCGTTTTTGTTTCATTGACTAAATGAATTTGTGTTTAGCTGACTTGTCTGATTTTGGAGTCAACTTTTTACATATGCATTTTCATCATGTTAAGATGATGACTATTAGTGTAGACACACAAAACGTTTTTGAGATTCACTCTAACTTAAGCAATAGTGTCAGGG